TTCTTCACAAAGGCTCTAAATCGAGGGAAAACCTAATTCAGAGTTTTGGTGGCGTTGAAGGGGACTTATATTCATATTTATAGAGCTTTAGGACGTGAATAGGTTGACCCAATTCGTTTTCTTGTCCAATTGTGGAACCTTTCTAGTGTTGGAATCCTTATCCAATACGGATACGGTGTGCATGCGAACGACCTCGTACGAATGCGGTCAACCTATTAGGTGCAAAAGGGTCGGCCTATGAGGTATTTAGGTCGACCTTTCATTCTGTTCGACCCCCAAAGAGGTCGACCATTTTATCTCTGAACCTCACATAACTGAAATATCACATTCGGTTGACCTCCTTTATGATTAGGTCGACCAAAAAGTCCATGTGACAATCGAAATTAAACTGCAATCAACAAATTAATTTTGTCTTACTTGATCTAATGCAACTCAATTAAAGAGTATTAACATTTGAGAGGGAGGATGACAGGTCCAATTTAGTAAATAATCAAATTTGGCTACTGATCATACATTACACTTTTCTTCATTAAATTAAACGGCTATGTCTAACTCGTTTTTATTCAAAATTAGCTTTTTCACAAAAAATTAGATTAATCTTGCTATTCAATTTTTTTTTCATAGGATCCCAGTCTTCTTGTTAACCTATCCACTAATAGATTACACTTAGCGTTAAATTGCTTACCAGACCTCAAAGGTAATCACAAGAATTTAATAAGTAGCTTCCCTTCTTTTGAGCTCAAATTTAGAGATTTAGACAACTAACTGCTTAATCAGGCTAGGAAACCCCCCCACCCCCCCCCCCCCCCCCCACCCCCACCCAATAAGGATTTTAGGATATAAGGATAGGACTGTAGCATTAATACCTTTGGTGATAGAAGAGTTTCTAGTCATTTCCTTAACTGAATGGCTAAATGTCGCCCTAACTTTACTCTGATCGCCCTAACTTAAAACATAAAATTACTTAATTATCCTTCATCAATAAAATCAAATTCAATAAAATAAACAACCCTAAAATCCAGAATCCTCCTTCGTCATCAAATAATCACCGCCAACGCCCACCACCCATCCACCACCTGCGCCTGTCGGTCAGTCACGTTAAGCCACAATCACAACAATAAGGTCTCGAATTTACCAAATCAATAAGAAACACCAAATCCATAAGAAACGCCGTTAGATTTGTTTAATCAGTTCATTTCAAAGTGTTGGTCAGAACTTAGATCTTGGGAAGATTCTCTCCCTCGATGGGATTTGGCTTTGCCATTCCATTTTTTTCTCCAAGCTCTTGAAATTGAACACGTAGCTTGAAGCCCATCAGCCCCAAATGCTTCCTGCACTGATTGCACGCACATGTTCGCCTGCATCCCCACCTCGACCGCCACGCCGGCGCCACACTCTTTTTTTTCTCCTCCGAACCAACAACTTCCACGGCTGCCCTACCTGACAATGTGAGTATGGAAAATATGGCATGATAAAATTACTCATTGTTCTTCCATATTATATACCATATACGAGGAAATTACAATATGTGTTGATTAGCTTCTTTGTTCCCCACCTAAGAGATGGCGGCGGCGGGCGGCGGCAATCGGCCAACGACAATGGAAGTAATGCCCACATATATTTCTTTGATTGATTGCGTTTATTATAGTATTCCTTTAACAATTAAATGATAGAAGGATAAAGCAGTATTGTCTCAACTTTTAAGTTAGGACGATTTAAGTAAAGTTAGGACGATAATTAGCAATCCCTTTCCTTAATTCTTTGTCATCTATCTCCTAAATTTGTTGAGAAAAAAATGATTGTCCACCCGTCAAATAGTGATTTAATTGGATCCATATAAAATAAAGCCTTCTTGATCTCAAAATCAAGTAAGATTGCACTAAGAATCTCTCCTTCCTCTTCTGGCAATAGTTTAGTGACTAAGGACTCCAACAACTCAACATCCATAGTAACTTCCTTCTTTTATCAAATAGAGTTTCATAGAATTTGATACCTTCAGTGGCAATATCCCCAATCTCCAGAACTTCCTCCCCTGTCTCCAATTTTAGTTTCCTAATCTGTTTTCTTGCCATTCTTATTTTTGTTGTATTATGACAGTATGATGTGTTGTTGTCACCCAACATAAGCCTGCTTATTCTTGATTTTTCTCCAGCTTTCCTCTGCATCCCTAAGTTCCAAAAACTTTTATGTGCTCTTCGTTCCATTGAAAAAAGCTTCCATGCTTGGTGCATGTAGTGCTTCATTTGATCTTGCTTCATAATCATCCCCGCTTCTTGTACCCTTGCTTTATTATTAGAAAACTCCTCTTTGTTAAGTTTCTTCAACCATTGCTTAAGCTCCTTAAGTCGATTCCTCATTGTATATACTGCAGAGCCTCTTTTTTCCTTGCTCCATACTTTCCCCAATAGAGTTATAGCTGGAATGCTTTAGCTATATATCACAACATCAAAAAAATTTAGGAAATGACTTTGTGCTTATTCTAGAGATAATCAACATTCCACTATGATATGGAAAGTGAGGAGGTAACAACTCCACTACACATCCTTCAAATTGACTCAACCAGATAATATCAACCTTCCCTCAATCCAAAGTAGTTAAAATCGGGATTTTACCTAAAATCGAAAACTGGGGTAAAATCGGAATCGTAAAATCGTAGAATTTTAACTACCACATAGAAATTAACATATAATAAAATTAATAAGGTAAATCATTAATAACACAAAGACATATAACATTTAAAGTGATAATTTTCAAGATTAATGTTCCAAAGTCATCATTTTAATTGTTATTTGATGTGTAACTCAAAGTAATTTATGAGGAAGGGATAACGCTCATGGGGTTTGCTCTTGTTTTTCATGTTGTGTTTATGTAGTTAAACTCAAAGTAGTATTCTGACGTCGTCTATTAAGCATGATTTAAAACTAAGAATAAGTGAACTCCAATAAGAATTTTAATGTCATTGGGTTGGTACAAATATATTCATTAATAAATTAATTTGTTAATGATGATGTTAATTCTTTCGTACATACAATATTATGACAACTATTTTACCAATGAGTTAAACACGGAGAATGGAAAGGGATTGACCGAATCCTAATTAGGTTTTTTTCTCCTTTTCAAATGTTCTTTTAATAGGAAAAATATATGAGAAGATAGTCGTTATATTGCCCTTTCCACCGAAACAGTTCCGCTTCTTTTGAATTGTCTTAAACTGCATATTTTGTTCACATAGGATCAAAATCCCAATTTTGGTACGATTTTACGATTTTAATCCCGATATTGAACGATTTTAAGGTCCACCGATTTTATAGTGAAATCAGGATCGGAATTCTTAAGTAAAATCGTAAAATCCTACGATTTTACGATCAAAATCCCGATTTTAACTGCATTGACCTATATAGCTTCCTTGCAATAAGATTCCCCTCCTATTGATTAGGCCATGTAAAGAGCAGGGTAGTCGTCCATAATCTCCATTTCTGCACACCAATTCCTAAAGTCAATCATACTCTGACGAATAGGAATCCCATTTGAGGTCTCTATAGGATCAAGCACAACATAAAATCCTGACGTATAATCCATGAAAATCCTTGAATACGTAGCATGAATATAATTCTATCCAGTTTCCAAAATGCTTATTTGCACCTCACTTGTCCAACCAATCCATATTCTGGCCAAACTACTTTCTCTCTCTTGTATTCTAGTAGCTTTATCCTTCTTAACTGCAGTCTCTACTATAGAAACAACTGCACTTTATACTTTCTCAAATATTCTAATATTGCACAATGCTTCGAATACTTATTAAATCCTTGAACATTCTAAGTTAGCATACTCACTAAAATGTTTACCTTAGTCTTGTCAACCCCTCCCTTCTTACCAGCACGGGCTTGCAAGCATACTTTTGTTCATAAACCTTGTGAGCAAAGTAATTCAAAAGTGTTCTTCTGAGTCAAATGAGAAAATCAACATTTTGTATGCCTTGTTTTTTATATTAAAAATGAAGGATGCAAATAATAAGTATCATAAAAATCAAACAATATAAATTTCTCCGTCATCACCTTCATCATAGTTATGATCGGATGACATGCTCCATGTGTCATCTTCTTTCTCTCCACCCCGATCCTCACTAAGCTCAGCATGTATCTCAGCACCCAAACAATAAGGGTTTTGTGCCATAAAATTCCAAAGCACATTTAAGCTATCATCATCGACAATAAGCATCGCATAATGAAATAAAACACCATTCTGTCATTCTGGAAGACAGTAAGTGAAACCTGTAATCACAACACTATCTTGTACTGCTTCGTCTCTACGTCGTATTCTCTGAATTAGATTATCACAAAGTTTCTGATAGTTCACCCTAGATGGAATAGTCATCTGAAAACTTACACCACCAACGAAATGGACACTCAAATTGTCCTCTACTTTCTCTGATTTCCACCGAACAGCTAGTTCAAATCTTCTAAAACCACTACATAAAAAACAAACTCACTAATTACTAACTGGACAAAATCATTATGAAGAATACTTTGAAAAACTAAATACGTCTTACCTATTATTAGCCATCTTCCCAACAACCAGACAGCAACACCAGAGCTTCTTTCGGAACTTCTTTCAATTTTTTGGTGGTGAAGAACTGAAGGAAAGGTGTAGTATATATGGTGATGGAGTGGTGCTGGAGTGGAAGAAGAGAAGGCAGCGACAAAGCCTCAGTCTGGGGCGCCGCCGCTTTCGCTTTTTTTTTTTCAAGCGCCAAAGCCCCAGTCTCGGGCGCCGCAGCTGGATTTTATTGAAAAACCAACACCTAGCGGCCGCACCTGAGTCTCGGGCTTGAGCGCTTTCAACATACTAAAAAACACAGTATATGTATCAATAGTTTTTAAACCACCATATTCGTAGTAAATAAAAAAAAACAATATTCAGAAAATTAATCCACAAACTACAAACACAAAAAAGAGTACTAGTAGGAGTCCCAACACAAATCCCACCCCCACCCCAATGGGCTGTGTTTGTACTTGTAAGTTTTAATAAGTCCCACCCTCCCTCCCCTTCCCTTCCCCATTTGTCACTTTCCCTCTCTTCCATTACCGTTTCTCCCTTCAAACTTCCACCATTTCTTCCCGTTTTTCTTTCTTCTGCAGTCAAGCCTTCAGTATTTCCCCACACTGCTTTCCCTCCCTTTCTCTGGAAGGAAGGAACTCAGTGCGAGTGAGTGAGAGCGGTCTGCCTCGCCTCTCTAATTTCTCCCAAAGGCAGAGTTCCTATTCACCTCCGGAGGCCTAGATTTCCATTCACAAAGGAAGAGACACAATGTCGGCTGTTAAAGATGAAGACCCTCGTATCGATGGCATCAAAACTAAAATTCGTGTCGTCCCCAATTTCCCTAAACCAGGTTTGAGCCAATGGGTTCGTTTTTTTCTGTGTTTTCTTTCGAGTTCTGCGCATGGTGCTGTCTCTTCTGAATAAATTTATTTCTGGGTTCTCTAAGTTTATGATGTCCCTCACCTACCCTGTTGAGCAACCGTGATTCCCTGCCTTTTCAGTGATTAAAGTTCGTCACTTTTCGAATGGAGGGGAAGCCAAAACGAAAGGCGACCCCTTTTCTATATATTGTAGCATAACACCGTGGTGTCATTCTACTTTCTGGTGGACAGGTATTATGTTTCAGGATATAACAACTCTGCTTCTGGATCCAAAAGCTTTCAAGGATACAGTTGATTTGTTCGTCGAGCGTTACAAGGGCAAAAACATTTCGGTCGTTGCAGGTAATCTATCCTTCCAAATTAGCTGTTGAGTTTTGCCCTCGGTGTATCTTCTTTTCCACTAATGATTTGATCGTTGAAACTATTTATCCTTTTCGTTGTTTTTAAAATGTATTTTTCCATAACCTTTTACTTCTTTGTTCTTGAGTGGGTGATGATGGTGGTGGTGGCGGGACCCGGCTTTTTTTGCCTGCACGGCAGAAATTCGCCCACTGCTGCATAACCTTCTTCTCGAACAACCTTCTATGAGAGAAATTATGGCTGGCTGTATGGATTATTATCTATACATTATCTATCTTGTTCCCCTTCATTTGTTTATTGGGTTTTCTTTAGTTCCCCTCTTGTATTCTACTGTTGTACTGATTTCTTGTTTGACTAACGTGTTCTGATAGCAAGTTCGCCATTGATTGCCACCTTCAGGTTTTTCGTTTTGTTCTGTTTTTTTTATAACACCCTTTAAGCTGCACCTCACTCTCGAATAAGATCATTAGGCCTTCAGCTTCCTTCGTCCTTGCAACGAAGAATGGTTGTTGCCTCGTTACACTCTCGAATCTGAAACCTTGATTAAATTAGGAGAGCCCCGTAAACACATGCTTTGATTGATGGAGGCCCCTCTCCTTTGCCCCATATTTTGTGGCTATTTTGTTTTGTTGTGAGCATGTGCTACAGTCTACAGATCTTATTTGGGTGGATGGTGGTTGTTGATGGACGCCAGTGCCACCCTTGTTTATAAAGGGGTAATGGTGGTGGACCCTTAATGATGCTTAGTTTCTGTTAAACCCTTCCAAGTTTGTTTTTGGTACCTCAAGTTGCTGGTGGTACTTATTTCTTCACCTTGGAACCATTTGAGGAAAAGATGCATTATTCAATCATGATTTGGTAATTTAAGCCTGTCACGTTGTTATTCTCTGTTTCAGCCTTTTGGCCTATGCCTTAGCTGGTTTCTTGGTACTTATTTTTGTTTCAGTTACAGCTTTTAGGAGATATGTCACTAGCATTATCTTGGTTCTTTTGTCTTAATGTGTGTTGCTTTTGATGGTTGTCTTCTTGTGTCTGTGTGATATGCAACTTTTTGATCATTGGGGAGAATCTTCTCTCCAAATAATAAGCTTCATATCATCAAAGAAAGTGTGCTTGATATTGATAAAGTAAGGCAGAAACTACAAACTATGTGAGCATGTTTTTGGTGCAGTGTCTGCCAAGTTGAGTCTCTATCCACACCACCTCTAGCACTTGCATTTAGAATTTGAGCAGGAACAGTTAAAGCTCTTGTCAGGATCAAATCACTACAGCTGATATAAAGCACATCCGGTTACAAGACAAAATCTGTTATCTTTTAGGAACAAGTTGCAGTTTTCTGTCCTTGTAATGGTAATTTTGTGCAACTTTCTTCATTATAAAAATGAATAATGCTTGCAGTAGAGCAGGTGTTTGTTTTACCACAGAGGTTTGATTGTGTGCTGTATAACCCCGGTTAGTTTGTATTAGTAAAGAATCCCTCCTACCACATCAAATTCGCCTTCAATGTTTCGTATGCTTGCTTATATGCCACTTGGTTGGAGTGAACATCTCTCCAAGAGTAATAATCAGTCATTTTATCTCATTAAGTTGTCATGGTTTTCGTACTTACAGGAATAGAAGCTCGAGGGTTTATTTTTGGACCTCCCATTGCATTGGCCATCGGTGCAAAGTTTGTTCCTTTAAGGAAGCCCAAAAAGCTTCCTGGTAATATAACTCATTTATAACTCAGTTTCATCACCAAGGTTCATCCCTTCTGTCTCTTATTTGTAACAAAGTCACTGCCCGAATGAATGAACAGGTGAAGTTATCTCGGAGGAGTACACACTGGAGTATGGAAGCGACCGCCTCGAGATGCACGTTGGAGCTGTTAATAAGGGAGAACGTGCCCTGGTGGTCGACGATCTGATTGCTACTGGTGGCACTCTTTGTGCAGCCATGAATTTACTCGGTAACTTCTACCACAAGTAGCTTCAGGGTTAAACATGCAAATGATGGGCCACCAAATGAATGTTTCAGTTGTCGAAATGAGTATTAAGAGATTTGTAAAGCATGGAATCTGGTGAAATGGATTATAGCTGATTTTGCTTCTTTATCATCTCTTCTCCCACTCAGAACGAGCAGGATCAGAAATTGTGGAGTGTGCCTGTCTTATCGAGTTGCCCGAGTTGAAGGTGAGTCATATGTTGCCATGCCATGGACACTCTTCGTCTGTGCTTACTTTCTCTGAAGCTGGGTGAGCTGAATCGTTTTCGAATGGTTGCAGGGGCGGGATAGATTGCACGGGAAGCCATTGTATGTGCTTGTAGAGTATCACTAGAGGGTTCGGTTGCAGATTTTGGCTGAAGTGATTGTTGTATCACTACTTGATTAGTTGAATTTGGATTTTAAATTATTGTGGCTATTGCTGTAAGTTATCAAAGCTAGTGAGCCTAGTATAACAGCAGACATTATTGATTTGAAGTATCAATATGAATATATTATGGTCTATGGACACTAAGTATCCATCCATGACCATCTTTTCTCACTCACTTCATAGATAAAGTTTGTTTGATGTGAGCTAAATCATTGTTTATTCCTATCCATCAAGTCAAATAGGATGATTTAATAGTAAGGAATGAGTCATTTCGTAGCAATATACTGTTTGAATATGGCAACACTGAATTGTGGCTCTACTGATAATTGCAGGAAATGTACCTATTTGATTATTATGACTTGCAAACCAAACTATTTCTGTAGTCAAGGTTTATAATGGAGTTAGCGTCTTTTACGGTTCCTAATTGGAGGAATCTACAAGACAGTCGTTGGGAAGAAGATGATGACTTCATTCAGGGGTAGTTGCTGAATTGAAAGACACCCTATGTCCCTATAAACTTCACAATTGGTGAGTTTCTGTTGGCATTTGTCAAGATTGACTTTTGCAGGCCGCTTGCATGGTCAGATCAAAGGTTAAGCCTTTTTAAGGCCCAAGTCTAGGGCTACGAGCCCAAAATTGGGCTATTGAAGGTACGTAGTTGGCTCCTAATAATGGAGGCCAATACTACGGTGCCGCTATAAAAACTGCGACACCGGTGACGCTATTTCTGATCGGGCCACGTGGATATGATGTGGCACTGATGGGAATGTTTAACTCTAGTTTAAACTAGCTTGAACCCGGCCCGTTGGCCGGATAGCTGTTATACAATACTTCTGGTTGAGATCGGGTAAACCAAATATCAAACTTAAAATTAAAAGGTAGGAACAAAGACATGTGCAAACTGTATAGATATATTATGGACTGATGAGTTTACTGAAATAATGGGCCTTTTGTGAGCGACCCTCTGTTACAACGAATAGTACCAAAAGCCTAAAGTTATAATTGTATCTACAATTAGTATGCAAGTTAATTAGTCACAAAATAAATAATTTATAATAAGAAAAATTATTAGTTAAATCACTTACTAAAACGTAATGGAAGAGCTAGGCCAATGAAGAAAATAACCAAAATCTAGAAAAGCCCTATGAAGTAATCCATGTTCATTGACAATAAAATAAACCTCTAAATAAAGTTCTCACAAGCCCAAATGCAAAAGACTTCCAAGTAAATAGTAGAAAAACAAAAAAGACCCTTCACTAACTCCTTAACTAAATAGTGCTTCGACTTGTGAACAGCTACTTTCATAAATTTGTTGTCGAGAATAATTTGAGGAGGACCAAATCGCAGTACTCGTGCACATCATTCCACGGCCCGACTTTGACAAACAGTTGATATACATTCCCCATGAGTGACTGGAGGATGCGAATGAAGTCATCATTGAACGGATCTCCATGAGGAAAAAGATCACGAGTGATTCTTCTAAGGTAAGTAGAGGGGGAAAAATGACCTCCACTACAAAACTTATATCCTCAACGGCAAGGTGAATTATGTGTGTGCTAGAGTTCGGACACCACGAAGGATAGAAGTCAATTATGCGGCCCTCAAAAAGGTGAAGATTGTCCTGGTATTAATTAGAGAAATACACATGGTTAAACCTTTTAACAAACCTTCGCGGAACTTGGAAATAAGAGGGTTTAAAACATGATTACCATATTCTCCTCCTCCAATTGGTAGAGAATAAGATCAAGTGCTAGACAATGTTCAGCAATAGCAGCAACAACCTCATAGTTAAGATCAATGTTGTCAGAACCGAACCGGAGCATGACCCGGTAATGCGAACTGCTCGCACTTTAGTGATCCAACCGGAATTAGATCGTTTAAAAACCGTTAGAGAATCGGTACCTAATAAACGTTATCAGTATAAATACTGGACTTTTCTTAATCAGAGCTTGTCTCTTTCCTTCCAAATTGTGAAATGGAAATAAAGATTCAATTTGAGAGCCCGACGTTTTTTATTTATTTCAATTTTCTGCAATTTTTTTAATTAAATTTAACGGCTGAATGGCAATAACCGGACGAGCGGCTCGATCGGCTCGACCGGTTAACCGCCTCGGCCGCCTGTCAACCACCGCATAAAACCGGAGCGGCTTTTAGACTGTTCCAAGCCGATTATGTGACCGGGTGACGGTTTTACTGGTCAGGCCGAGCGGTTCAGCTCGACTTTAATAACATTGGTTAAGATGTAAAATGGTAGATGCTTGAGCATCATGCCTATGAATACAACTATTTATTAAATAACACAGCTATTTAACAACACATATATTAGAAATTCATAGGATCAATTAACTTACTGGACTAAGAACAAATGAATATGAAGAGCATCCAGATTCATATACATCTTAGTAGCAAGTGATGTGGTGAAAGCAAATGCACATACAAAAACATAATTAATATGATATAAAGGTTAAGTAATTAGGAACATTGGAAGAACCAATTCTAGATTTGACAAAAAATGTTAAATTGACAAAAGAGACAACCACATTAAGGACTAAAGACCTTATAAATTATAAGTCAATGCACAATGAACGATATAACAATTTAAAACCGACATGTGATATGACCTCTTCATTATTAAATATTTGTTCATTAAATAATATCTATACATAAGTAAATTACTTACCTCCATGATTTTGTATATATAGAGAGGTGATAGTATCACTTGTCCAAAAAATACTGCATCAGGGAGCATATTCACGAATGCATTAATCATATCATCCCACAAAATTATGTTCACCGGTGGCCCCCTTTATGGAAAAAGCGACCGCAATATTTAGTATATAAATATGCTAAAAGGGTCAGAAAGAGTCAAGAAAAAAACAGGGATGAGACGGAACGGAACGGATCAATCATATAGCTTGACTTTTCAGAAGTGGGTCAAACAGAATCAAGGTCGGTTCAGGAGCGGCAATTTTTAGCACTAAGGAGAGTTCTGAGCTGAATAGCTTTATTTGAGCCTGGAAATTGGTACAGACTGCATTTTTCCACTGCAGATGTTTTGAACGAATTCCAAACATATTAAGAAACAAAAGGCATATAGTTTTGGTTGGCTCTTGAATTTATACTTAAAGCAGTGAAGTTAATTATGGCCGCACAAAACATTACTTTTAAGGAAAAGACAAATTATAATTTTTAATGTAAAGGAGATATAAGATGATAAAACAGAAGGGAAGAAAAATCCAACATAACTATCTTAAATTGAATTTGTGCTCGAAATCAAAGGTTTTTTCTTTTAACTATCGGTTTCCTATGTAAACTATATAATCATAATGGATTTAAAACGGGTAAGCACAGGAAATGTATATACATGACAGATGAGGCATGTGGAAACCTAGTACAACTAATGTTTGTGACATTGTGTGATTCGAAACTGACTAAGAAGGCTTAAACAAAATCCTCAATCTATTTGTTCCTACCATATAAAGAAATAGCTACTCGCTGCAAAATAAGGACAGCTGGTGACCCTAGGCATAAAATTAGTTGACGAAAGCAGTAAACAACTTTTGTAACAAATTACTAGGGGAAAAAAACTTTTGTAACAGCAAATAGCAGTGATTCGCTGTCTGGTTTCACGATCCAACTTTGATCATGGTATGTGATTGCACGGACTGATCGCAGAATGATGAGAAAGTTGTGATCCCTATCAGTATCATCCCCAGTGAACACATCGCATGCAATTTCTCTAAGGTGGGAACATGGGAATGTGACTTCGACTTTGGTAGTTGGATCGGCAATAGTAAAATGGACCAGACTTAAATCATATTCACTTGAACAGGAAATCACCATTGCGTTAACTTTTCCAGCCACAATGTATGCATTGTCCTATAGAATAAACATTATATACGTATCAGAACATTGAAAGACAACCGGTATTAATTAACGTAACCCTTAGGAGCAAATTGGTGGAAATTGGAAACCTGGTTACCATATTAGTGATGTTAAATTTTAACAATTTGAGATCTTGAACGGTAGCAAACTTATATATCGCTACAACTTCCTACAATGATAGAGCTCCAAACATATAGTTCACTTCAAAGTGCACCTCAGCTTGCCTAACATTATATAATTGAAAATTACCAGTCGAAATATATAGCACTGGAATGAAAATGGAAGTTAATTGAATAGAGAATTATAACACTTACTGGTTTAAGAAAGAGTGAAGCTCAGGAATATGGATATTAAACTACATCTTAGTGGCGCGGGATGCAACAAACAAATATTGTCCTAAGATCCATAAAAAAAAACATGAGAAATATATGATGAAATGAAATTAGAGCTATAATAAGGAGCATATGTATAGCAGTACAGCACAGAAAGAACAAAAAACTTTTATGATCGTCTGTGAGAAAGACAATGCATTTGATTTTTATGTTTAAAATTGATCCATATTCTACCGGGTCAAATGAATTATACTTGAAGTGAATATCAGAAAGTGTGTGGGACTTCTAACTTTAGGCAATATTTTGTTTGGGTTTCATTTAATCTCAAATGTCTGTGAGTGTAGTGCAAACAAAAGGCTTCAAGGTAATGCTACGATACGATGCACCTCAAAATCTTATTCACATGACAGAGCATTATATAATATATATACCTATGTCCATTTAAACACATCAAATCATGTACTTCAAATGCCCATAGAAAGAACCAGTATCATCTTTCTAGCAACAACCTTGTTGCTGCTGGATATATAAGAAAGTGAAGATCCCCACCTGGCCTAAAGATGTTGCATCACCAATAAGATCGTCGAAGGCAACTATCTCATTGAGTCTCATAAGAAGACATGTGCGATCTCTCCCCTAGTACATATTCAAAATAAGATAAGTTATGCATGTGTAGTTTGAGGTCTTCAAATGACAATGGAAACAATTTAGAAAAAAAACTCAATCAATTGGAGAGTAATGTGTTTGTTCCGAAGCGGCAAGCTTGGGTATAACACTTGGGTGGGTTGGCAGCGGATTACGAATCCAACCAAATATGAGAACATTAAAGATTGAGTTATTAATTCGACCAGTTCATTAGACAATGTATATACTTGCCATGGGACACATAACACAGACCTGGAAGATACTGTTGATTCCCAGATGCATATGGGAAGTCCCCGAATGCCAGGAACCAAAAACTTATAATTGGAATCTCACCGGTTTCATCTATCTCATAGAGCAATGTATCGTCACGAAGCAATCCGAATATTGGTGCTATAAAGTTTTCACACATAACGGAGCAATAAAGGTAGTCCTCATC